AATTACTTTTATTCAGTTCAAGTAACTTAGTGTTCAAACATACATCTATAAAGGCCCACTACAGAACTACTTATTTACTCTCCCCCCCACCCATAAAAGTCATGTGTTTGGCATACTTTTGCTCTCAATAAATTAATCTTTTATCTCAACCTTTCTTTAAGCCATCTGAGTAGCTAAATACAAATTATAAAGGGAGATAGCAATACTATAAAAATGAAACAGATTAATGAAAGATGCATTTTTGGAGACAGTTTTCTAAGTTGACTCAGCTGCTCCCTGTACCCGGAACTGAATGCAATTCCACATGCTGTGTATATCCATGTCATACATGATTGCCAATAAAGCAGTACCATTACTGGAAAAAAGTTCTCTCTACAATTGCTATAGTCATAAATTTTATTTTTACAACATTTTGAAAAAGAGAACACAGAACATATTTTTAGGTAAAAAAGAAATCATTTTTCATCTGGATAAGAGATGCATTTGCGTGACTATACTCCATTTTTAAAACACATCCCTTAATATCAGTTGAGAAGTTCCTCATGTCTACTGAGCAGTGAGCACCTTCACATGTTCCATATCATTCCTTCTTCACTAACTTCAATTCTGGTTAAAACAATATATACTGTAAACCAGATTCATTCACTTTTGTTGAACGAAAGCTGGAGAAAGCGAGATAGGTATTATCTGCAAGGTAGCAGCACTCCTTTTTGGCTCCCACAGAGAAAATAAGATATAAAGAACCAATACTTTCATAACTGTTGCTACACATCAGAATCTCTGGCCAAACTAAAGTGCATCAAGAGTAACAGTAAAGACTAGACTTCAAGAATTACCAAGTATTACTACAACAATAGCTGACCAGATTATTAAAAATTGATTCTCTCATTGATTTACACCAGTGGAAGCCAACCTTTTTTGGAAGGCACAACACAAATGAAGCCTCATACCCGCAAGTGCCACTCCAATCCCTTTCTGCTACCTTATCTACTGCTCTGCTTCCTAGCCAAGTTGCTGGTCTGCTTCCTATCTTACCTGCTGTGCTGCCTACCCCTCATCTGCCATATGCCATACATAGTAGCTGCCCATGCCACTTGTGGCATGCGTGCCATGGGTTGGTCAGCCCTACTTTATACAACCTACTGACCTTAAAGAAATGCAGTGTTCACTTAAGTATTTGATGACTCTTCATTGCATCTCAAGCAATATTCAAAGTACCACATGGACATGTCAATGTCATACATTAATAAGAGCCTCAATGTTTTAGACCAGATCCTCAGCCAAGGTATGTCTGTTGAAACATATTTACAACAGTTTACCGTAGCTGATCTTCCAACTTTTCATGATGCAATATAAATATTACAGGGTACCTAGTTACAGTTCCCATCTCAGTTTTCCTATTCTGTTCAGAAAGTCTGCCAACAACACCTTAATTGAAAATAGCTACTTTTTAAAAATAAAGTCTCAATCTTCCATTAACAAAGTAAAAATTACAATATATGTGCACACCCGTATTTTCACAGTTGCCATGGGTATAGAGACTCCCTCCCTCCACTTAATCAAGCAGAAATCTATCATGACTCCTACTTTACTTCAAACTAGCAGGGCTAACCACATCTAACAGGTTCTACCTCCAGTAATGGAGTGTCCAAATTTAAAGAAATCTACTGAATCCTGGAACTGTCACTGATCACAGATTCAGCAATAAAGTCTAAGCAACAGATGTGGAGCATTTACAATGCTATATGTTGGCCTGATTATGGGTATGCAGTTTACTTAATTATATTGATTTAACTCAGAGATCCATAAAAAAAAGAGAGGCAGAAAGAATTACGGCTCCATACATTCAGCAAACACTTAAAAACTGTTACAGGCCCGTACTTGAAATATTTGCTTTGATGATTCCGCCTCCATCTCCATCCATAGATGAAAAAAATATTTTGGGTTGAAACATCAAGAACCCAAGCACAGGGGTATAAAGAGCCATAGCTGAGTTAAGAAGGAAGAGGAAAAATGATATTAAAAGGTGGGCCTACACGAGGAAGGTAGCACACAGTAAGCTGTACTATGCTGTGAATTCATGGTGCCCTGAAGCCACGTGGATATTCTCAGCATACACCAACAGAATTGGTGAGAAACAAATACTAGAAATTACACTTAAGACAGGACTAGTCTGATAATCGCATCTTAAATAGTAAGATAGTAACCCAGCCATATGTTCACAGAATTATTAGCACTAGAAAAAAAGAAAAGTCAGAAACAAAAAGTGTCTATTTTTGTGAGAGGCAAGGATTTAAGGAAATATCTTTTACTGGACCAACTGTATGACTGAGATAAAGTTAGTCAAGCTTTCAAATGTAAAGTGTTCTTCAGATATCTGATGAAGAACATCTTGCACTAAAAACCTTGTGCTGCAAGAATGGGAGACAACCTAAAAGATAGATCAGGATCATTGTTCATCTAAAAAAGTATTTTAAAATACTATCACAACCACAAATATATCGTTCTAAGGAATCCTTGCATCATGCATAATTTTTAGACCATCACAGCTACAACACCACCCTTATGCTACTGTAGCATTTTTTTGTAGCTGGCTTGTATCTGGCCTTAAATTCAATGTGCGGCAAGGTTAGGATCACATCAGGGTCTCCAGCTGGCTCTGGCATGATCCTCACCAGCCAACAATTAACTGATTGTCAGCTGGCTCTGGCACTCCACAAGGGCTTGAACCAGCTTTCATAGCTGATCAGCTGATCATTGACCAACTCTGGGGGCTGCACCAGGGCTCTTTCAAGTCCCAGGGCAGTTGGGTAGCTAACTGACAAACAGCTGATTGTCAGATACCCACCTTTCAACATGCTAATGCAGAGAGAGCCCAGAAACAATCCCAGGCTCTGCTTGCACTGGCAGGTAGGGTGTGATTAGGATCTGACCTCTGAGCTCAAAATTACACATCCTGCCATGTACATGTGGCTGGCACATGGGACCAGATACCACTGTGCCTTTAAAATGAACATCTGGTCAGCAGCCTAAGCGCCTGCTTGGGAAATTAGTGTGGAGCAGCTAGTATGCTGAAAATCCATACCCTAAGAGATACTAAGATTTATCTTATATCTGACAGAATATTGTTCACACACACAAAACACACAAGCCTGCTGTTTGTTTAAATAGCCAGATAAAAGTGTGGGGGGGGAAGCCACTGTTAGTGACAAAGTGGGCTAATGATATTGGATCAGAAAGCAGTGCTGTAAAAATGGGAGATATGGAACATCTGGTCCTCATCTTTCCATCTAGAAAATTATTTTAAAAATACTATATCAAATGGACCTAATCCATTTAAAAAGTTAAGCTTATTTATGGTATAAGAACAGGAAAATGTGGGAGGGAACGCAGTAGATTGGGATGATTCTACCACATATGGTAGACATACCCGAAAATTAAATGGTTCTGGAAGAATGTTGGAGAAATAGTGAGGAAAACAACAGGATGCCAACTATCAGATAAACCTGTAGTGTACCTAGTGAACCTTCCTGAGAACTCTGCAACAGAAGAGTCACAAGGAATTAATCACTCATCTTCTAATGGCTGCAAGAGTTACAACTATAAAAGCCTGGAAGAGAAGCAACACCCCTTATGGGTGGTTTCCAAAAGTTTAGGAAATTTTTAGCAATGGAAAAGCTGTCCTATCAGTGTTTTGAAGGGGAGAATGAAAAAAGATAACTTGGAAGTTTGGTGGAATTTGCTAAAAAAGAATAATCTCCTCTCTCTAAACCAGAACATTTGAGAAACTTCTTGGAATCAAGGCAAGTGCAAGCCTTAACACTTAAGAATATATTTGGAATAAAATTTAAGAAGGAAAACCAAAGAGATGAGCAAAAGATAGTAAGATTTGCATTAGTCAGAACTTGGGGGGGGGGGGGGGGG